TGAATATTTATTGGAAATTATAAATATTTGATACACAAACATAATAGAGACATGGACAAATTAATTATGAAACGCAATTTAAATGTTACCAAGTATAAAAATAAACAGATAACATTAATATAAATTAATATGCGAGTCGGCGTAGACGTTACACCAAAAGAAATGAGGCGAAGCGTTTGTGGTCAATTTATTTACTAGCGATTAGGTACGCCTTGGGCGGATACTTGGCCGGATGATAAATTGACCGCTGTCGGTCATTTTCTACTAAATATTTTAGGTTAAATCTAACAAATTTAAACCATACAAGTCGAGAAGAAAGCTAATCGCGTGCCTTGAGGTTCAAGAATTGCGAAATCTTAATTGAAGCAAGCTTTATTTTGAACTTTAAGATTTTAGTTTTAAACCATATTTTGTAATGTATGATATTCGATGAGATATAGAATGATATTTTGGATTGATAAATGATTGTCAGTCACAGATCGAGAGTTAATTTGTTTTTGAAATAAAATTTAAGCTTATGATTGTGTTGCTATATTTATATTTTAAGACTGTTATTTAAAAATGTTTTCAAGCTTATGCTTATGTACTGAAAAGAAACGCAAATATATTTCGCGCGATGTTTTACTGCACTCATAACAATTATTTTGAATAGGTAGGGAATATAAACGTAAATTGCACTTATTTACTGGGTCGCCGCGATCAATCATTGCGGCCAAGTCATCAGCCGGTTCAAATGTCAAACGAACGTAGGGTGGCAATAAAAAAGAAATACCGAGTTGCCATTATTAAAAAAGTGACTGTGACTTTATTTCCATTGTCGATTGCCGATTCAGGATTATTAACTGACTTGCATTCTTTTTTGTATTCTAATATTGATAGATTAGTTTTTTCGAGAGGTTTCTATTAAGATGTGTATGTTAAAAATACTGTGCATTTTGTTCCCACTAACAGAACTAAAAGTTTTTATTAATTATATTACAGAATTTATTAATAATTTTTGCAATGCCAAACGTACGTAGCTGGCAATATAAAATTTTAAAATGAATTCCTGTGACTTCGTTATGTTTTGTAAATAATAATAATATGTTTATTTTAATACATCTTTCACTTTTTGGTTTATTGCCCAAAATTTTTTCTTCGTTATATGTTTAATCATTGTTTAATTGTGCATAATGGATATTCGATGAACTTTATTGTATTGGATTCGTTTAACGAAATTGACTTCCTTTAAATTAACGATTTCCTTTGCGTGATCTCGTCCGTTTATAATCTAATTCATTCGTCCACTGGGAAGGGACTTTACTGTATCGTAATTATTATTTTTCATGGTCCGAATAATGTATGTAACTTTATTCTATTTGTGTTACCTATTTTTCTTATGAATTACCATTTACGTATATTTTAACATCTAGTTAAGTTTTGGTTTGTATTTGTTCTTCTTTTTATTATACTATATACGATAACGAAGTATTCACTCAGATAAGTTTTATACTAGTTATTGAAATTTTACTGTTATTGACATGAAAAAATTCAAGATTGTGCGTTATATTCTATGTACAAGGAAGGTTTGAGTTAAAATTAACTTGGTTTGTTGATGTTATGTTGCTATATTGTTTAAGAAATAATACTGTAATGATTCTAAATCGAATCGCAGCTTTGCACAAAGGCAAACATGACGTAGATCGCGTGCAAACGCACAATATTATTGGAGTCAAGCCGCTCAACGCTACCCCATATTTTAACAACTGTCCTAATACATCTTGCAATGTTGTTTTTAACTGTTTCGCCACATTATTGTTTGTACTTTTTGTGAATGTTTACTTTTAATTTTTGTAATAACTTTTATGCTGCCTGTATTACCTTTTATTTTGTTACTTGAAGTATGATGAGTCACATGAGTCACATGAGACAATTTAGTTTATTTTTGGTATTGATCTGAAAATATTATTTTAAATCTAAAACTCTATAGGTGCATGTAAATTTATCTGTGTGAGAGTTAATTTTATTGGATTGCCAAATGCATCGTGATTTTTTTGAAGAAAAAAAATTTAAAATATTCAACGAATTGGATCGATTTTTTTCTTCATTTCAGGTGCCTGTCAATGAAAGCGCCCGACAGGTATGTCGCTAGCTAGTTCGCGCGATCGGTTTCGTTCGGCCGGGTTCGGTTGCGTTCGGAAACGTTCGGGCGGGCTCGGCCGCCCAGCTGGTCACTCGCAGGCCAGAGTGTAGCTTGGAAGACCACACGACACAACCGCCGCTCAGGATAATGCCCCGCACAGTATTATTTTTGAAACAAAATTGCTTATCAATGTGTTTTGTTTTACCTGTTTTATTATATTTTTTTTAAATTACATTGGTTCCATCGAAGTATGACTTAATTCATATGACAATTGGAACCAAATCAAAAATACTTTTGAATGTTTTCTCTTCAGCTTGTTTGGGTTATTTTCTCTGTTCCGCATTATTACTGTATTTTTAATTTAACGAAACTTAATAATTGGTGGAATAATTAGTCGTCGTTGTTTTGCTTCCAGGTTACATCTCTGTTACGATATCGATGGCTAAAGTTGAATTATAGACATATCACAGATAAATTTACATTTCTCATCACAGTAGAACCTTGAATAGTTGTGTAAGCATGTGTGTATATTTCATTTGATTTAAATATTTTTTTTTATCTTACCTAAAAGTATTTTTTAGTGTTTTGCTTGAAAAAATTTCTCGTGTAGTCAATGAAATACGATAATACTTTTACGCATGGTGTGATTGTGATCCTAAATTGGTGCCGTGACAAATTCCTGACTATCGCCATCAAATCGTGAAGGATTTAACGCCTCCGTTGGCATACTTCTTTTGTTGGCATCATAAAGCCGCCATTAACATGTTTGATAAAACGATGGCTGTACAAAAAAGAGACCGGGCTACCGTAGACTCCCCACCGGGAGGGCTCATTGAGGACCGGAGCCATGCTGTGGTACTTACAAAGGGAACAAGGATTCGTCAGTGTTCCATTCTCCCGTTTCGGCTGATCATTGCTATATTTTAGTGGCCTTGTTAACGCCGAGAGCTTTAAAACTTTTTTTGTTCAACATCAAATACGGTACATGGCTGATTAATTAAATACACGAGGTTTATTGTTCACTTACTAAATGTTAACTGTAATATACTTTCGTATGTCATTGCATTATTCACAGTTATAGTGAGTAGGTAAAAGTTAAAGTAATTTTAAAAAGAACTAATAATAAACTATTTAAAGTTTTTGTTAAGTATTATAAATCCGGTATTAAAATATTATAATTTTGTCTGATGTTTTAATCCTTCTCGCGGTTGTCTTTGGGGAGAGCTTTTCAAGATATTGTTATCTAATGGATCCGAAATCGAAACCGATCTATCCTAAAAGCTACTTTTATTCAAATCCAAATGCATTAAAACTATTATAGTATTAAGATAATGAAATAGGAGTTGAGCGGCAGCGCTTTACGCGTGAGTATTTAAATGGCGCTCACTGCTTGTGTCTTTATTTCCAGTATTGCATCGTACACATAAAATTATCTTCTTACTTAGGATAGACGGTTATGGCCATCTTAATAATTGTTAATTAAAATTGATTACTTTTGTGATTTGTAAAGCATAAGGATAATACGAGTTCAAAGGTTTATGAGTCGCAAATTTTACTGTCTAGTTCCACTTACATTGTATTAAAGTTTGAAGTGTTATGACAATGTATTTATTTAGGTTTAGAGAATTAAAATATCTTCAAAGTTCCACACAATTCTATCAATATCAATAGTGTATCGCTCTAGCAATAGTTTTGACAAAGAAGAGAGAGTACAACATGCGATCTATTTACATGAACAACTTTGGTTTAAAGGCTGGATTCGAATAAACATTTAACGGTGAACCCTTTGACCGTTCGTGGGCAATTTTCACTTCGGAAAACGGAATGGAAATGATTTTAAAGGGGGTTATTTACGCTTTGACGCCTTTGCCTTTGGCAAATGCGCTATTCTGCGATTCTTGCAAAAATATATCACATTATTTATCATATTTTTTATACATTTTATTATAAATAAAATAACTGTTGTGCCTACTTCGTGGAGGCATGGTTTCTGTTAAATATCGATATATAAATTTAAATAATCCATTGAAATGTTTCGCTACTCCAAAACCTATCATCATTGGCTAGATTAACAGATAGAACGAACGAACGAACATACCACCCAAAGCTCGTTAAATGGACATTAGTACCTCTATTTAATTTTGGTGTTTTTGATGGTGTTTCGCAGTTGTTTTATTTTACAAAACAATTTAAACTGGCTTTATTCAGATTTTTTTATAACACAGTTAAATGTCATAGATCGATGATAGACTCCGACGTCTAAGGCACTTGAAACAAGGCTAAAACATTTCGTTCGGCTCTATCGCGGGAGGTGTCCACCTGTGCCGTTTGTTTCACCGACTCCATCCCTTTGTATGTAAATTGCGCTTTCATCTGCAAACACGCCTTCTGTGAAAGTCAATGGGCCAGCAATTACACACGCGGCGCGTTGAGGGTTTATCGAACGCGTTTCGCTGCAACGCTATTAACGGGGCGACGTTTACGCACGTCTCTCTTACGCGGAATTTAACTTTAATAGCAAATGTCATAATAGTTTATATTATACTCAGATGCTGTTCCAACAACGGGTTAGCAACAGAATCCTGAGCAATATCGGCTTTAAATTATCTATAAGATTGAAAGAGAAAAAACTTGACGCAAGGCAAGTCTCCATGGCACGATTAAATGGCATTATAGAGGTGGTGCGTCTAAGACTGCATTACTGCTTGGTTTGTTTACCAGTCAAGCTACCATATCATAATATAGTATATCAGTTATCTGAATAAACATTTTCTTCTATTTACAAGCTGGGCAGTTCTCGACCACGACCCCAATTGCGACGCACCCATTCAGTACAGTCTCGGTGAGCATTGTGAAATGGAAAATTCGGTACAGTCTACTCCGCGAGACACGCGCTTAGCACCGGCGAATATAGGGCCAGGCCGGGAGAGTCAGCGAGCGCAGTGTGCGAAAACGTGCTCAATGAGGCCCCACGCCAATTACGGCATGAGTGGCCGGTGCGTTGCTCCTCAGTCGCCGCACTCACCCAGTTGCGCAAGCGGGCGTGATGGGTAGCGGATCGTGAACTTTCCCTCTCGTACGCGATGCCCCAACTGGGGTTACGCAACGTATGCTCACCCTGTCCATCCAGTTGCGACGTGGTCGGCCGTCACCTGACCGATAAGGGTGACCTGATTAACAACTTCGACGATAGCGAAATCAGCATCTTGTTTCTTTTTATGTGAAAAGTTGGCAAGCGAGTAGACGGCTCGTCTGATTTTTAGTGTACCGTCATTGGGGGGTTGCAGAGGCGTTGCTGACTTTTTATAATGTGTATCCCATCACTAGATAATGTGTGTACTGCACTTATCAAACTAAACGCGAAAGTATAATACTTCTACATCATGCCGGTCTTCTGTGAGGCCGTGGTACTTCCTCGGACGAGTTTGTCCTGCACAATTAAATAATTGTAATAATTCCTCAACACGTAATTTTAATGTTAGATTTCTCGAACAAATCTCAGAACGATTCGCGCGTATACATTTCCCATCGCACATTTCTCAAGGCATCGAAGATAAATGAATCTATGGAATTAATTGGACAAGTAATCGAAAACTCACAAAGAATTTCTTCATCTCTGCTTCGGGGGGAGCGGGAAACAAATGAGAGGCGGACATTGAATAATTTGATTTCCTTATTTGCAACAATCAATATCGAATAAAATATGTTTATGGGAACAAAGTGCGGTATTATATTCGATACTTTCGCGTGTACCTTTTTTCTTTCACCCAAATTTAATCTTGCTCTTTACTCATTGAATTTTACATATACATTCTCTTACCTCTATATTAGGCAAGTTTGGTTTCAATAGGTTTGGTGTCAAATTATCAAATACTTGCATAGGAATCTGGACTTGTTTGACAAATACGTAAGCAAACTCAGGTGCAACATCAATTAACTAACTTCGAAATGATCCCCTCGAAACAGTTAAAGGGTGGCTTCGCTGGGAGCGGTGGGGAGCGGAGTCGGTCGCAGACGGCATATTAGTAGATATAATTGCATTTACTACCGAGCTGGGTGACGTTTCCTCCGAAGTATCCACCGCTGACTTGTAGACAATCGAGTTACCAACACAAACCACCCTCTGGAATAAGTTGCCGCTGATGAACATTTCACTCCTTGATTAATTTCTGAACCACTTAGCGAGCTGCATTTATAACTTCCGAAGCGGGCGGAAACCACGTCAAATTCTTGCGAACGTCGCTCGAGTCCACTCCGTTCCAGTATCTTTATAATTAGGCGAGACTCCCCGCTAAAATAAGCTCATATTAGATTTTGCCCGTAATTCGGTCGGGTACTTATTTAATTCCGGATATAAAATTTCTGTGATTGAACCCCAGCGGGTGGGGTGTGGGGCGTGAATTCCAACAAAATTAGCACCAGGGGTCGAAATAAAAAAGCGAAGGAAAAATTTAATGAACAGGAAAATGCTCCTTTTTGCAGCTATTCCATCTATTTATCTACATCGGGATGCCCATTACCTTGCTAAGAGAAAAGTTTACATTTTTAATTTAATGATTCCACTTTGTGGAAGTTGGGCGGGTTTCGGCGAGATCTTAATTTGGGGATTTCGAGGCGTCTCGTTTTGTAAATATTATTCCTTTAATAAGACCTCACGTCGAGGGGGTCCGCCGTAGTCCGTGATTACGACTCTCTTTGCGAGCTCCATTTTAGACCTCGTCATTTTGATTGGCGCTAATGAAATTTTTCCTACTCCGCGCCGTTTTCTTGTTCTTGACAGAACAATTTTCAGGGGACATGAAACAACTTATGTTACGACATCAACACGCCCTATAAACAGTCATCGCAGGCAATTTCGCATCAGCTGGGCCGGTGTTTCTGTCGTATCCATTTAAATTTTTCACTTTTGCTAATGCAATTTCTTACTTTATCTCTTGCGGAGCGGAGTGCGTGTCCCATCTGTAGCGAAATTTCTAAATCGTTAAGTCGCAGCTGTGTTTGTTGGCACGATGACGTTTCGCTTTTAGCGGGTCTTTTAAAATTGAATATTTGATGGCGCACTCCCTTATGACGAATCCGCAGTGAGTGCGTACGGCCAATTTGGTGTTGGATAATTTTTTGGAAAGGCGTCAACGATACCGCTCGTAGTTTATGGTTATATTCCATTTTATTTATCGGCGTTAGTGTTGTATTTTAAAATACAACCGCATTGTTCTATCACAGGGCAGTTTTAATACGTAACAACAGTTTTATCGTTGCACTTCGCTTTGTGAACACAATTTCATTCGATCCATTATCGAACAGGCGAACGACACTCGAAGATTCCCATTATAAAAGCAAATGGTTACTAGCTTAGTTCGTTTCTAATTACACAGATAAGCGACTTCAATAACGTTGTTTTATCACGTCCGTACGTTTGGAATCTAATTGGAATTTTGCATGTTGATATGTGGACTCTTTATTGGTCGATATTATGTTTGCTTTCCGATATTGATGTTTGCTGTTCGAATGGAGGCAAGCGAGTGTCGGGTCGTTGTGATAATTGTGCGTGTAAGGGACGCAAATGGCGATTTGTATCTGTTATTATTCATAACATATTGTTCACCTATTGGTCGCTATGGACTGTAATTCATTTAATTTAGTGATTTGTTTTCTTTAACTCATCCGTCAGTCGGACCTTTTTAGATTTTTTTATGACGATCCTCACTCTGTGGAGCTGTTAGACTAAATACTACTACGCTTTTGATATTGACAATATGAACATGAACAAAGATTGTTTTATTTTATCCTTATCTATAGAAACATTGACCGCAGAATTTAGATTTCTAGAGACTTGTGTTCATGTACATACATCGTTTTTTTTTATTTATTATTAATTTCTAGTGATGATTTCTTACATAAATATTTCAGAGTGTCTTACTTGTAGACTTCAATACACAAGAAATGTTAGATCGTTTGAGCTACTTGACTCAGCAGCACGTAATGTGTATCTATTATTTAATATTATGTCATGTGATTATAGTAAGAATTAGGCAAAAATATTGACTTATTATCGAAAAATTATAATTTTCGATATAACAACTGGTAAACGTTATAAATTTGTAATAATGAGTATTAAAAATCTAAAAGCTCCATAATCGATTGAAACGTTTAGGAACTTTCACATAAATACCAGCCCTTATATTTAGCCAAAAATTAGCATTTAAATGCATAGATCAGAGATTATATGGGGAGTTACAGTTATTTTTAATCGAAATTATAGCTACAGTTCTACATCGGGGTCGATTTGGGGTCGGTTTTTTACGAAAACATCTGTTGTGTACATCGCATGAGTTTTTTGTTATTTTAAAAGGAGACATGATGGATCAGTTTCAACACATATACGTCGGTCTCTTTGTTGCTTGGTTTATGGCTTTGTAATGTGTTTCTTTGTTTGTGAACGTGTTACGGTCGCTTCGGAAGTTTTGAGAAAAAATTTAGCTAGTCCTAGTGATAATGCGGACGGTTAAATGACTTCCAGTGTCTCTGTGGAATAATCGAAGTGAACAGTATCAGAATTTGAAATCAAAATATAGTTCAACTAAACGAATTTAAGACGACTCATAATATTCTCGTATCACACTGAGAATGCAGCCTTTTATTATAAAAAATACGTTGTGTCGCGAAGCTGTTCTTATCGAGGCTTACAAGTCACCGTGTTAATAGTATTATGTTTTTTTCAAGTTCGGAGAGGGCTTACAGGACAAAAGGTGGTGTACTTAAGGGCGCCATTGCATGCAAGAGTAGCGTAAAGTATCACTACGGAAACCTTTTGTCGAAGTGTGGGAGAGCACCGAGAGCACGCTCTGTGGAGACCAACGCCGCGTGGTCTCTTGACAGGATTTAGTGCAGTTTGCTCCGCCAAAAAGATTATATCTTATCTGTGGAAAGAAAAAAAACCCGTGTGCCTGTCGACGAATTTTCTTTCGAATGCCATTAACGAAACACATGTTATTGTGAATGTTTAATGGAATACAGAGCTTTTAATTTTTTTTAAGTAATACGCATCTGCTTTTAGGTTTCTTAAATGATACACAGATTTTGTGTTACAGTAATTGTTATTGATCGGTTTAACATAAAGGTCGAACCGTACCCAAAAATTACCTACGACTTATTCGACGAAAAAGATTTAGCTTTCATCAGGTAGACTTAAATTTGGAGAAGTAGTGCAAACTGTTTCCGATTAGATGTACAGACGTGATGAAGATATCGTGACTGAATACACCAGAAACCACCGGATTCCTAGATCGGATTGGGGACGTGGACCCTCAATGAGACTGCAGCCGGTGATGAATCGCCCCCGATCAAAAGCGATTGGCGTAATTAAATTCAAAACGTATCCATTTCCTTTTGGCAAACAGAATAATAAAGGCGCGCTTACAGCGGTTACGCAGAGCCCGAAGTGTACGCGCTCCGAAACGGAGTATAGAAAAAAGTAGCGGGCCGGAGTTTTGATTGATCACCTACTCGGAGCGGTTTTTTGTGTGAAATTAAAAACACGGAGTGGGCATGCGTCGGATTAAAAAGGAATTTCAGGCGGCCAATAGGCGGAGGGACCCGGGCCTTTGTTGTCGGAAACGAATTTCGAAATTAATTTATTTTCACAAGACAAGCGTATTCGGACTTCGATTTCGCGTTACCCGCGCAATTGAGACGGCGAACGCAAGGCCGTTTTTGCCAAGCTAATCGCGTAATTCAATTTTTATATTAAGTTTTAATACTTCCATTCACAGACGATGTTCTCTATTTGTTTGTTCGATAGAGTCATCATGAATTTCGATTAATACGACAACCTAATTATATAAAGTAATAGAGGGTGAGAAAAACTAATTCGTTTTATTTTTTGCAATCGTAAATATTGATTCTGTCAATATTTAAAGTTCAAAAAAAAATTGGGTCAATATCACAGCTTATATTAATAACAATATTGTGTGTATGTAAGTATTTCATCGTTTTGGTCCACTTAAAGCCTTCATTTCAAACAAAAACGTACGCGCGTCTGAAAATTAACCGCGTCAGTCAGACCTAAAGCGTACCGCAAACTGGTAATTAAAGCATCTATAATACATTACCATTATGCATACTAAATTCGTGGGAGACTTAGTCGAGACGCTAGGAGGGAAGCTGGATATGTGGCACCCAATACCACAAAGGTAAAGGGGTGATAATAATAGCAGTTTCGTGCTTTACGAACGATCAAAATTGCAGGAGCACGTGTATAAAATACACTTTGTAAAGTAGATTTAAATTTTAATACGAACCTCTCAGTCGAGGGTCGTAAGTAATGTCTTGGCGTTGGAAACGAGTGGAGGCACCATTCGGTTTTGTTTTACAACTCCGTAAATATCAACTCATTTCTATCCTTTTTGTTTAAAAACAAAAAAAAAATTATTGAAGTAAATAATATGCTACGCACTCTGTCCCTCTATATATCTGGTTAATTCTATGTCTATTTTGAGTCTTTTGTCAAATGAAAGGATATTATTAGTTTATGAGGTTTAAGATAGAAGGAAATCTTTGGATATGTCATAGTACAATATTAATAAGCGTGTAAATTCGATTTGCGTATATACTTAAACTACTCGCCCGTTCCCGGTAGTATATTATGTAGTAGGTACTGGTGAGTTATCGGTAGGTGATTTTCGGTATTATTTTTTCGAACTTAGGGATGTCCACGTTGAGCTTTCGTTGCTCAGGACTCAGGTGTCGACTGCGGCCGATTTCGCAAGACAATGCTTAATAATTTCATTTCACAATTACGCCGCCCATCTTTGCCTGTCGCACAGTTAGAAGGCATCGGAGAGCCCCTCCGCGGCAATTTGCATTGTAACCCGGACCACGTAGAGCCCTAATGGCCACACCGCCACCTCCTAACTCCTTGAATATATAATTTTGTTGCTTTTATTAACGGCGACTTCGCGTGGGAATTGACGCTGTCCTTCCGCGGTACGAACGATAACTTGCTAGATTTATTTTATAGTTTCAACGGAGACTTTAACTTTAACTTTGTCTCGAGGGTGTGTGCGATTGGCGCGAGCTACTTTATGCCGTCAATAAAGATGGCCGACGCGCGGCTCATTAAATTATTTGCTGGATTTATTTGACAGGGAGCTTTTTTTCTTTTAACAAGTTTACGACTCAGCTAGGATACTTTGTTGCGTAAGTGGTGAGACTCAATTGCGCTGTATAGTGTTACGAGAAAGGAAACAAACGTAGTATTAGAGGAAACGGCGGGTTAATAAAAGGAAAAAACGCGGTTGAACCGCGCCGATGGAATAGACGCGCCCGTAATTACCTTCCGGAGCCTTAATGCAAAAGTTACCGGCCCCAAGACAGACTTAAAAGTTTTGTTTTGATGCCTATAAATTAATGTGTTTGCATGTTTCGAGCTTTGAACCGCTTTACAACTCTCGCTCGATTTTAAGGTTCCCAAGTCGCTATTGAATTATTCGTTGTTTCCTTTATCAATAACGTTAATGGGCATTTTGCGAAATGCAAAGACACTTGTTAGTTTGTTTATTATAACGAAATAAATTTAGCGGAATATTTTGTATAAAGTTATTTCCATTTTAAATTACACAATAATTCCAAACTTATTGTTTTGGAGTCTTTTTATATATATCTAACGTTTAATAACTAACATATGAAGTGAGAAAAGTCAACGAGTTCTTTATTCATTATAGTAGGGAAATTACATATACACAAATACGAAGTAGATATGACACTAGTTGACTACTGAAACTGAAGCACTTACGCCAATTAGTGTAATTAAAAATTGAAATTCTATACACTGCTAACTCTTTCCGTATGATATGTTCTATATCATCTGTCCCATTCACTCATACATGTCATGTAATGTTAAGCAGAACAATTTTTAAACGCCGCGCAGTATGAACGTGTGTCATTTATTAAAACATAATTGCATCATAGTATTATACAATGAGCATACAGGCAAAATGTTTACGCTAATGTAACTTCTTACTTGCTATTAAGCTTAGTTTATATATGAAGCAAGTCGTTGGGGGCTTAAAAACACTGGAGCTTTGCGTGGAATAAATCGCATTTCTCTAATTCTTACTTTAACTTTGTGGGAAATGTTGTATAATTCCATTTCGTGTTTTCAACTCTTTAGGGGTCGTAATATTGCTGGTAATAGGTAGTGAAAAGTTTCCTCACAGAGTAACAAAACGAATGATTAGTGCATTAGAGCATGTTAAGTAATATGTTTTAAGTATTGTTTTTCTTCTCTTTTACAAAGCAATGCATACCGATTTTTCTACTCCGCTTATTATTGACGTGGTCCGCCTTGTGGTGGCACTTCTACCCACTTGTGCTTAACAGTCTTGAAGATATGTAAATAATATTTCCCACACGATCGGAGTGCTTTTATGTCGCATTGAATGAGCGCAAGCCGGCGTCATACGGGCGTCTTATTCACCACTTGCTGTGGATGTTGACACTTCGCTCTGTCGTTAGCTTTTGTTCTAACACGTGTTAGGTTACATGCACACATGCACGTGTTGCTGCGTAGATATCATTGACTATAGCCCCGTTTTCTACGCGATTATTGTCGGTTAGTTGGAGAGTACTGTGGTAAGGGCCAGTAAACAGTCTTCGCTCTTGCACGAATGGGCAGGTCCGTTCGGGAAGTATCGCGACCTCACAGAATACATACTTAAGCGTTTCGTCTAGTGAGGAGGCATCCGGTGCCCCCGTTATTAAAATGTGGCAGCGCATGTGTCCCTACGGGTGTTGCAAATGTCCATGGGCGGCGGTTATCACTTAGCATCGATTGAACCTACAGCTCGCTTGCCACCTTCTCACATAAAATAGATCTTCGATGTTAGGTAGTCGATAGCTAGTCTATATATCTTCGATAACATCCTGATAATTGGCAGCCGGCGTATTGGTAACACGTCATGGTACACCACTTTGTGGCACCGGTCGTCACCATCGGTATTCCGGAACTGATACAACTCATGGACCTTGAATAAGAGAGCCCGTTCAATACCTGGCGGTGAAATAATGCCATCAGAAGAGTGACAATTCAATTGCCATTCTCCTTCCATTAAATATGCCAATTATTAAACTATAAATTGATCACTTTTGTATAGAAAAAACAACTAATTCCTCGATTATTGCAGTGTAGTGCATATAGGTTTCATATGTTAGTTTCCTATTTACATATAAAAACTATATACACTAAGTTGCTATAATTGAGGAATGAGCCATAGACATCGAAGTGTTAAGACATCATCAAGTTTCCTTAAACCGATTCCAGTAAGCCTGATAGCCCTCGATTATCAGTCATTGTTGGGACGTTAGGAATTCAACGCTTCAATTTGTAGCGGTCGAGTGTTCGCGCGATTGTCACGCGAAAACTCCGTCCGTTGTACGTATGTGCGTTAATAATTCAATTTTTTCAATTAGCCCGACAGCGTACCGTGATGGAACTCTTCGGAGGCGAGTGAAAAGATAATCGCGTCGAGAGTCGTTCGCGCGTTATAATTAGTACAAATCGCCTACTCCATGCAGCTTTGCGTAGAGTTGCGAATAAACAGACAGGCGGGTTTGTTATTTTTTTATTGTTGTTAATTGATATTCGTTTAATATATTATGCTTTGGAATATTTATTCGATTCCTGCATAATATATTGTAATTTCTGAATTACGTTTAGTACATTAAAATTTGTACGAAAATGTACAAAAGGTTTTGTCGCCGCTGCGGGAATCGAACCGGAATACCGGAACCAGAACTCTGGAAGACTTGGGTTAAATGAACGAAAAAGTTTTTCGTAATTTTTAATTTAAAATTTAAATAAATTTTTATGTTTCATTTTAATTGCAGACAATTAGCATCATAAATATTTAATTTATACATATAAACCTCTCTTTAATCTGGTATAAAAACCGCATCGAGACCCGTTGCGTAGTATTAAACATCTAAGCTTACTTAGGGATAGACAGACAGCGGGACGACTTTGTTTTATGCTATATAATAATAAATAATATATATATAGAGTGATTATAATTATATCGAGGAAACAATGTTTCCCCTCTAGCAGTTCTAAGCGCGTGCACTCCGCACCGAATCCCGTAGTCTCGCGAGTTAATAGATTCCATTATTCATCGCGACTGGTTCGAATCCGCGTCGCACTACGATTGATGGCGCTAGCGTTCCACCGACGAAACGCGACAACGTCGCCCGTCAAATCTCTAATTATCCCCAGCCGAGTTTTCCGACGAACAATTAATTCCGAATAAGACCCGATTGTTATTCGAAAATTCGTATGTTTAATGTTCCTAGATTTCGGTTTGCGATCTAATTCGAAAGTTCAATCGGAATGTATGATTGCATTTTAATAATAGGTGCAATTCGTCTAGATGCGACCGAGAAAACTATTTAAAGATCAGTTTTTTGTGTCGCTTTCCCACCGATTGGTTTCTACTACTAAGCTAAGTAAAACCGACCGCTAAGCGATTCGGCTCGCCTCGGAATCGTTAAGCCAGTTCCATAAGAAGTGTCCATTCCGTACGACTGTGAGATAAAACGGCCCTGATCGCTTCACTGACTCCGCGTTTTAATCAAACAAATTCGAGATTGATTTTTTCCGTCGGGCCACTAAAGACATGCGATGGATATCTTTTTCTTCGTCCATAATCGATCATCCGCGCTGCTTAACTGCGGGGTTTTCAATTAAAACCGCGTCGAATCGGCCGCTGTACGTTTTGGCGGATGGCCGACGCGGGCTGGGCCACGTTGCCATGGCAACGGAGAAACCCGGACGGCAGTCTGGGTAGGTGCAGATCGAATCCGGTGTAAATAATCGCGCTAATCGCCCGCTGAAGACCATAGAAGCCGAATCGAACGTCCTTCGACAGGTCGTGTCGCGGCGGCCGCGGCTCAAAGCGGCGTGACTCGACACAACGCCGTCCCATTCCCAAATGTCCGTCGCCCATTCGTTCCTCCTGCTACGCCTACCCAATAAATTAGATGCCCCGACCGAAGCGCCGCATAGTTGCGAACTAATGGAATCCCGGAAAGAGCTCAACCCATTTTCTTAGCAACTTTTCCGGGAGAGCAGTCGCCTTCAAAGATTTCACCCCAAGAAGTAATTCCGCTAATAACGGGCGGCGCTCACGCGACTATGTTATGCAACCATAGGAATTTCATTAGATACACACGCGTTTGTTTGCTAAGGCGTTTTCCATTGCTAAAAGTTTCTTGAGGCGGGTATAATTCCTTTGTTTGTTGTGAGGGTGGCGCGCCCGCCTCGCCCGCTACGTTTTCTAAGTCATCGGGTCCAATTATGCCCCTTTGTCGGTTTTGATATGTAAATTCGCGATTTTATTAAACAAACCGTGATGCCATTTGCGAGCAGCGAGCCGTATTAATAGCTCCTCGGATCTGTAATCGCTTTATCTTAAGACAACATTGGATTATTTCGAGGGAGTTGCTCAGTTAAGTTCGCGCTACATTAGCAGTCTGAGTAAACAATTTATCCGAATTCCAACTCCCAATATGCTCCATTTGAGCAGCTCTTGCAAACACACGCTGACTGAAAATGTTCACGACAATAATCAAGCAAATTGGCGTAATAATAGCAACGGTTATTGTCGGTACGCGAGGCCTGCAATGGCCCTACAAATTAATCCGCACATAGAAACGCGGGCGAATGTTACCGTCCAAACTACCCATTCGATTTAAGCTTAATTTTTACCCCGCCACTATTAATAATTTACACGGGACGCCGCCAACGCTTGCGCCATATTACCTCGCATAAATTAATAATCTCGCTCGCTTGTTTAACTGCGAATCAGATGAGTTTTATTGACAATTTCGTTGGGAAAGAGCAATTTGCGGGATGGCCGCCTAGTGCCGCCAAGTGGTCACCAAATAGGGGAGCACTTACTCGCGAAGGGCGATCATAATATCAGCTACGGTCTGTGGATTTGGCGTATTTGATAACTTAGCTTGATAGTTTGCGATAGCCGGTACGCATGTGGTGCGAATTTATTTAGAGCTAAAAAGGTTCCAACAGAGAATTTTTTCTAGTGAGTGACTGCAAGGATGTCGTAGATTTAGGTAGCCAATTTGCCAACCGCGATCACGCATAATATTATATGTTCAATTACTGTGTACGTGATTTTGGAAATATCATATAAATAATTCACCAATCTTAAAGCTTATTACCTGTAATGAATCGAGGTACAACAACGTAGGTAGAAGATCGTAACGAAATTGTAGTGAGCAATTACTCTGCATAGACGGTATCGTCTCCACACCTTCGCAGCCGGCCCAAACTATCGGTAGCCGGTGTTTGCATCGCATTAGTGTAACTCAATACACGCACGAATGTACACAATTGCATTTGGGGTTGCATTGAGGAGAGTCGGGCCGTTATTGTGCAAACAGGTCCCACTCTGAGTTACCACAGATATTTTGGCAGTGTTGTCTGTTAATTTAATACAAATTCTTTGATTTATTATAATTTTTGTATTGCATTTTTCATGTATATTGAGTTAAATTAATTAATATGTTGCTAGAAAGTGGCTTACGAAATTTTAAACGAGTTCACTCGATGATAATTTGTTACGGTTGATGTGCTTGCAATACTTTTTAAGAATGTTCCTCACTGAGCGCCGAAATGCAAAAGCATTAATCCTTCCACTTAATGCAAGTCTTCTATGAAGCTCTGGTACCTTACCGGACGTGACAGGCGGTCTACCACGATAATGATGTTAATATTACCATCAAAATTTTAATTTAGGTCAACCTTAAGAGTGGCTTAAGCATAACCTCCATTCAACGTAAACTTAAACGTTTAGTTCTCGAATTGAACTCGTAGATACAACAGGTTGAAACGACCTTTCTGGCATCTTTAGTCGTAGGCGGGATAAGTTTAGATGCAAAGATAGGCGCGCCCCGCGACTTCGCACGCCGTTATCGTGTGCGTGCGGAACGCCCTGTCGCCTCGAATTAACACAGGCTTTTGTTATCGTTCAATTTGGATCCGCCGCCGGCCGCTTTATTATTTTAATGAGACTCAATTTTCAGGGATAATTGAATGGGCCTCTACTTCGATCACTGTGTTCTATGCAGGTCGTCGGTGGTTGATTTGGACGTGAACTAGTGTTGTATTTATTATATGAGAGCTGTGTTAGAAAATGACTGTGATTTATACAAACGATTAAATGTATCCACTGATAGCGCTTTCGTCGCTCTTTCGAACTTTTGCCCTAAAAGAAGTTAATTTGTTCTAAAGAGGTTCGGAATTAAAAACGTTCTAAGTACAAAAAATCTTTGGATCCGATTTTAATCAACAAAGTTTGAACAATAAAATGTTTCTAATCCTAATGTAATGATATTTTATTCGTTACCGATTAGCATATAGGTATAAAAATTGGAAATCCAAAACTTGAAAATCCGTAAAACTGTCACCCCATTTGTGGAATATGAACGTTTTGTATCTAATCGTATGTATATATATTAACATATCACTAAGAAATTATTAATATTAATCGTTAAAGAAACATCTTATTTGCATTACATATAATTTAGTTCGATCGCACGACTCAAAGCACATAAAATTAAGCTAATGTTTCATATTACGCGAATCAATGTTTGCAGTCGTTCAAAACCGAAACGGCCCAACCTATAAACAAAAAGCGCGGCATTGCACTGCCCAACTAAACGCGGCTTTATTCCGAATCTAATGGCCGACTAGTTTTACCTATAGTTAAGGTTGACTTAGTGCCGCCGGTTTAATTAAAGGGGTGCGTTTTGATTTGTCGCCGGCAATTTAAAAGCTCGCGTTGATATTGTTATTCCAGGCTGTTTGTTAATGCATAATTGTGGGGAATGACGTGTTGTGTGCGAAATGAGCAATATGAACTGTTTTTCGATAGTCTCATAAAATTCAAGTATTCAATGAAATTTACGAATTTTGGGTGTGATTCATTGAATGAACGTGCGATAGGTGATATAATATTAAAGACAATTATTTTGTTAGTTATTAGATTATTTTATTAGTATCCCTTCAGATTACATTATAGATTTGTGACGCCTTTTATATTTAAGTATTATTTTTTACTGAATGATGTACGATATTTAGAATTAATTATACGAGAACATTAATGCTAAAAAAATAACAATATGTTACTAACGAAGTATTGTCTTTTTTATGCCTATTCAAAGGTTTATTGCTGTCTGTTGTTTTATGAAAACGAACACGCGAATTATTTTGAGAATATTTGCAGAATTCAGTTCTCGTTACAATATATATAAAAAGTTAATGTGTAATTAAGTTGATAGTGAACAACTAAACGAATAAAATTCACCAAAAGTTAATACCAATCTTTCGTCTTCGTAAATGACGTTGGCGGTTTCAATCTGTGGTACCATTCGTGATAAAATAGACATAACGTAACCATACCTGTATTAACAATGCCCGAAGACCACTTCCAAGATGTCTACTAAAGTTGCTGGCAGCATGCAAGTGGCCTAGGAGCGTGGTTTGTGACGATCTATAAAGACGACGAGGAACAACTTTTACGTTTTTAAGTTCTCCCAGTTCGAATGTAAGGTGACACTGGCGGCCCGAGCGCCGTTTATTGCACTACACACTGGCGACAGATAATTAGTTAAATCGAGTCCGAACGGGTCCGGTGTAAGGGAACACCCGCGGGCGGCTCGTTTGAGGAGATACGAGCTGCGGGCAGCGCGGTGCGACCGCAGACCGCGGCACGCGCAACACTCGCCTCGCCTCCCTAATGCGACAGCGCTATTAGCTGACGCGCGATAACACTCGATTTAAATAAGTAAATACTCCTAGGCTTGACGCCGCGGCTGTTGCGATATGTGCCATGGATAGGGATGCAGAAAAAAAAAGAACTGTATGTGTTACTAATACATAAAACAAATAACGCTGCGGCTGGTGACTAGAGGGCTGGTTATTTTCTCGCTAAGAGTTTAGGCATAACTATTCAGCGAGGAAATGCAGCGTTCTTAGCACCTCGCAGCGAGGACTAGTTTTATTAGATAAAATGTAATTTGAAGAGATTTAATTGTAAATATTGGATGATTTTTAATTTATTTCATGACAAATTTTTACACAACGTTATCTAGTCCTAAACTAAGCAAACCTTACAAGGTTTGCTTGTAAGTTATAAATAAACCTAAGTTATAAACAAATCTGGGAGATAATGCTGATGGCATTAAGTCCGCCTTTGTACATAAATATTTGTGCAGAAAGTTTAAATAAATGAATAAATAAACGGCGGTATTCACTTAACATCCGGTGAACCGGCTGCTCGTTTGGCAACTTTTCACATAAAAAAAAAACATTAATTTTATATTGTGATAGCTCAGAGTCCGGGCGTTCGCTTTTAATTCAACATACTCGAGCAACCAAAAGCACAAATCCCGGTGCTAGCACCAATGAAGTTGTCAATTTTAAGTGCTGAATTATCACGATAATAGCAAAAATATATTTCGAAGATATATGAAGTCTGTCAATAGAGTAGGGGCTTTTGCCCCGCAGTTGGACTTGTATAGGCTACTATTTCACGGTCCTTACTTAACTTATACTCCTATTCTTTGCACTTACTATGAAATATAATATTTGTTATTTATGTAAAGGAAACACACGTGGCAAACGTTTACTCAAATGTCACAAACTTAATTCACAATCTGAATTCTTTCACCGTCTCAAACTTTGAGGTTATTAAGTGTTGCTGCGTGGAAAATATTTTGTGAAGTATTTTTATTTCATTAAAATGAAACACATAATATAACATTCATTATTCTTCTCCAACCACACTAACATTCATTCTACTTCGTAACAATTTTGTCAATTTCAAAAGATTTCAGAAGATACTATAATAGTAGGTACTCAAGTGTTGGCGCAAATGTCGTAATATACATAATAAATGTTTTATTTATTACATAACTGGTAAACTGTTATCGTAACTGGGAAAATATTTGCAATGACACGGTCAGATGACACAGTCGTATGATATGACGTTTGTAGCGAAAAGTCGAGGTCCATTCATAAAGCCTTATCCTACCTAATAAAGTGAGAGCTTGAATTTGGACAGTCCTTGCGTGACTAGAAGACGGCTTAGTGCATTTTTTTATTTACATAAACATTTTTGGGCTCATTGATTGTCTATTAACTCGTTGCTTTAAAGTGACAGCCCTAGCTATTAAAGATGGCTGCGGTTAACTTCCGTTTCCTAAGTGAATTTCGATTATCAGCAAGGGATGGGGTTGGAGAGGTATTTTAGAAGGGTATTCGTTAATGTGTCGTAAAGGATGATTCTCAAATGAACAGCAGGCGTAGGAGCAAGAAATATTTAAAAAACAATGCT